ATAAAAACTCATTTCTCGAAAAATAAATATATTCATTTGTTAATAAATAAAAACATTATTTTTATATATGTACGTAAAAGGTATATAGTAACCATTTGGATGACCAAAAATTAATATCAATCAAAATGTTTACGAATCGTTTAAATAATGATTTTGAGGGGGTTAATTCAAGAGCAAAAGTGTGAATTCCATAAATATATGTAAAAAAAATTCGCTTAAAGTTATTTAAAAGTAATAAAAAAAATTATAATTGTAAAAATTACTTGTAACTTAACAATATATTAACTTAAAAATTTGGAGTAAATATTTAAATATATTTAATTCTTAAAATTAAATATTAACTTATATGTTAAATAGATAATCTATAAATAAAATATCATTTAAATAAAAAAGAATATATCAAAGGAATCTTTCCATATTTGTTATGGAGACTTAGACCCTGTTCTCTTTACCGTTTTTGGGTCGTTTTCTGTTTTTGATTTTTCAAAACGGTGAAAACGTGTTCTCTTTCCCGTTTTCGAAAACGAAAAACATTTTGTGAAGAAAACACAAAACGACTTTTTTGTCGTTTTGGGCGTTTTCAGTGTAAAACTTGAAAAAATTGAAAACGCGGGAAACACTTCTTTATTTATTTATTTTTTTTTTGAGGAGGTGGTGTGGTGATTCTCAAAATTTCAAAAAAAATTAAAAATTAAAAATTTTTTTTTTTTGAGGAGATAGTGTGGTGATTCTCAAAATTTCAAAAAAAAAATAAAAATTAATTTATTTTTTTTTTTTGGTGTTTTGAGGTGATATTGTGGTGATTCTCAAAATTTAAAAAAAAAAATTATTTTTTTGTTTTTGTTTTGAGAAACTAACAAAAAGAACGCATTTTCAACAATTTCAAAACAAACACTCAAAACACAAAACTCAAAATGAATTCAAAACTCAAAACACAAAACTGAAACACAAAGAGAACACCCCCTTAATCTCTCATAACAAGCATCTGTCTCTTGTTATGGAGAGATCAAGTCTTCGTATTACGGAGGATTGAAACTTCCAAGTATGGAGACTAATTTTTTTTTTTGAATTTGTTTATTAGTAATATTTTTATTTGTTGATATTTTTTTGCTATCACTATTTATTTCCAACAATTACTTTTATGTAAGAAATTATTAACAAATAAAAATATAGACAAATTTTTTTTGTAAAATGTAAGAAGTTACTTATAAGTAAAAAATCTACAATTTTGACGCTAATAAAAATACAATAAATACAAAACTTATGTAACGCACGTGTCAAAGACTAGTTCATATAATAAAAGAAAGTTGAGAGAGTTGGAGTAGCAATTGATATGAAAAAAATATTTGGGGGAATGGGTATTTATAGTGAAGAAAATAATAATAATTTCAATGAAACGGTCACTGAAAAAATTCAGTGACCAAACGGTCACTTTACAAATAGGGCTCGACGAGCCACGAGTCGCTCACTCGGCTCGTGCTCGTGATTTTACGAGCCCGAGCCGCCCACGAGCCCCATTTTCACGAGCCGAACCGTCGAGCCATGAGCCGCTCGACTCTTTTGACATCCCTAGTTCTAGTCCGAAACAGACCCACAAATTGAGATCACACAATAAAGATTTTTAAAACATGAAGTCTATATGAATTGAGAGTTTCAAAACTGATCTATCTCACATTCTCACCTTTGTCAGCTTGATAATCAATGGAGGGAACCTAGGTCTAGAGGTCTCTCCGACGTTTGGAAAGAATGGTAGTCCTAACAACATATTCAATAAACAAGAATGGTAAGATGAGGTTGATTAACAGGTCGGGTAACTCTAAGTTGATCAATGGCAGAATTCAGATAAAAGGGGCAGTTATTTTAATTTCTTGGAAGAAGGCTTACACAGTTTGCATTGAAGAAACTGGGTATCCAAAATGCATCCAAATGCTAAACCCTCCAATAATGTTTTAGTAATACATCAAATTCATTGTTTTAGCTACAAGTACAAGGGTTTTATATAGGAAACTGAGCAAAAATAACGTTCACTTCAATGACAATTAAACGGAAAGAAGAAGTAACAGAAAGAAACTGACTATTTTGGTTCAGCCATCGAGGAAATCTCACAACCATAGCATGAACAGAAGATCAACATTAGAACAGTAAACCAAAACTTCGAACAGTGAATAACATTTCTGCTAAGATCATCAAAAGGACTGGGATCCAATGTCTCGACCCCCTTGCTTCATATTATGGACTAAATAAACTTGATTGCCTTAATGCTTACTACTATACCGCCTGCTCCTGCTCTTCCTTCGCCGGTGTCTGTCCTTAGAATCGGATTCTGAATCTGTGTATGAATCGGAGGATTCAGACGAGGAGCTGTACTTTCGGTGCCTCCTCTTCCTTTGCTGCTTCTTTCTGTTCTTCCGTTTTCTCCTCCTTTCTTCCTCCGAATCTGTGGATGAACTGTAACTCGACTCACTCTCCCCAGAAGACTCTTCGGATTCAGTAACTGCACTGTCTGACTCAAATACTGAAGCCTCGCTATCCTTGTCAGACTCGGTGTCCGACTTATGCTTCCTCTTACTCTTCTTCTCGTGTTTTACATTCTTCTCCGCCCGAATATCCGGGTTGTCAAAATCATATGAAATAGATGGCTTCATCCTCAGTTTCGGGTTTTTCAATTGCTGGCTACGTGATGGCCTCGAGAGATAAACCCTCTCGTTCTTGCACTCATACGTCCAATGCCCTGTTTGGAAGCACTTCTGGCATTGGGAAGCAGCCCCGAGGGCTGATGCCGAGGTCTTGAGGTCTTTCCTTTCACCCAATCTCACCTGTTTCTCAGTACTCATCAGATACATTTGCCTCTTAGCTTCCTTCCTCTCTTGCCATCGGCTTGGCCCTTCTTCCTTCTGTCCATACGCATTCACGTTACGTACAGCTGCCGCAGCTGCACGCTCAGCCTGCGCACGGCTGAGTCCCTTTGCAGCTGATAGGGCAGCAGCCTTGACTCTTTCTGCAGCATCCTGACCGCCACTCTCATCTTTGTTTTTCGACATACTCAACTTTCAGAATTCAACAACACTCCTTAATTCTCACTTGCACATACAATTTATGCTTCTCAAAAAACAACCATACTAATTTCTCATTCAAACCCTATAACTCAAAACAATTATTCATAAATGAGGCGAAACGATCATCGTGATCCCAATTTAAAATAACATAAAACCCCAAAAGATCTGCTTCTGGATGCAATAAATCGACATAATTTTCTCTCTTAAAACCTAGAAAAGCATAATTTGTGTATCCAATAAAATTAATCCTAAAAAACGGTTATTTTCACCATATGTAAATACAGAAGATAATATTGACTGACCATTCGCAGCAATCTTCGAGGCGTAGAGGTCGGCAGAATTCTAAAGAGTAATTACATGATTTTTAAGGAAATTTTGGAGCAATTAGAGAGAAAATTTGAGCCAATTGGGCTTTTTCTTTTCTTCCTTTTTTCCTTCTCTTGGGAACTAATGTTAAAAACAAGAATTTATAAATTTTCGAGAAATTCATCTGTGTAAGTGAAAGATATTCATAAGCTAGTTAGAAAAAGGAAAACATTTGGACCCCGTTTGGTACATATTAATGTAAAAATGAAAATGAAAAATATAGACGTTATGAACCCTACATAAGAGATAGAAATTTAAATTTGATGGCTTAATGTGATGGATAACGATCATATTTTCCATTTTAATGAAGAAAAAATGGAAAACAAACGGAGGCTTGTTATTTATATGAAATAGGGGATTGAAGTAAGAAATAAAAGAAATCAACAAACAATCAATTGATTATCACGTAATAAGAACTGATATATTAAATTCAATAAGAAAAAATGGCAATACTAAGTTTTCTGTTATTTTCTTGACATCCTCTTTGAAGTTTTCATTTCCAATAATCCTAATGCATTTCGTGGCTTCAACAAGAAGCATGCAGTTAAACTTGTCGATAACACCCATCAAAATAACCTTCAAGTACAACCTAATTGCATCATAATATTTTTAGAAAAGCTTCTATGAATACAATTTAACAGACTTAGCATACAAGTAAAGTAAAAGAAAAATAAGACTTTATTTACGATGCCCAAGAGATACACTCACTATAATAAGGTGTGAAAATAGAGATGAGGTGATGTTGCGAGAAGAGGGTAAATAAAAAAATTAAAAAAGGAAAAAGATGTTGATGATGGTTAGAGGTTGACACGTGTCATTTTTTTACAGTGGCACAATAGCGGTAGAGGTCTTAAAACATTTTATATTGGTTATATTTGAACTCTCAAACTTTCAAAATATTTTCATCCTTAAAGTTTCAATTCTATTGCACTTTAGTCCAGCTGCCATTTTTAGTTAAATAATCGGTAAAACGAGAAATTTTTAAGCTTATTTCCATTTTACCTTATACTCTCAAATTCTGTGTATACTTAGAATAGCATGCGAGGCAAGCGCGTGATTGGAAAAAATAATTGGATTTTCGTAAAAATTGATGAAATGTACGGTCAAAAAGTAGATAAAAATTGTGACTTCCATTATTTATAATTAAAAATGAATTTTAGAAAATAGATGCCAAACAAGAACTTAATCAAGCAACAAGAATTACAAAACTTTTAGTAGTAACCAATACTTAGCCTATAATATCCAAAAAGAAGAAGGTAAAAATGGTTAGCCTATGTTTGTCTCATGTTTGTAAACGTTTAAGACACTTTTATTTACACATATCGAGATATCTACAAATAGTACTTAATTATCCACGACTTATGTTATCTGTAACAAGTTAGCTTACAAAATTGGTTAACAAAGTAATATCTACACCCATCATTTCAAAAACAAAAAATTTTAAATTATTGAAAATCAACAGCCTAAATTTTGTCAACCAACTTTGTAAATCCACTTTATACAAATAGTATAATACATTATTCACCGCTCAATTCTATCCATTTATGATTTAAATTATTTAGAAACTTCACAAACATACTGTCTTCAGGACAATCAATGCATTTATTGCATGTCCTCTTTCAATTTCTGCCTATAATAGAGTTTGTAGGTAACGTGAGGAGACAAAATATTGATCGGAATACACATTAGAAATGTGTCAAAACATGACAAGGCACAATAAGGTTTATTAGGTTCAATTTTTAGAACGTGATACAATGCACCTTACAATAGGAAAACATAGGTGACAATCAAGAAATCACACATTATATATCAATGTAACAAGCAAAGAATTTTACATTATACAAACTATTTTCTACCTTATGTGCTTCATTAGACTGCCCATACAAAAGATCGAAATACAAGCCATCTAATAAAGAAGGCTATAAGGGCAAGTTCTCACTACGTGTGAATGAATATCGAAAAAGTAGAGTCGATCATTCTAGCAAGTACAATCCTACCCTGTATCGAGTATCAACAGCTAAAGCCACCGCACGCAGACAAAATGATGATGAAAATCACAGCTATGATGATAGCCAACACAATCAATTTAATTTTCATATTCTGAAGCCACATTTTTCTCCTCAATTGCGTCCCTCTTGTCCTATAAAACTCTGCCTGAAACCCCGACCAAAACAGACAACAAAAACTAAATTTCAGAGCGACAAGTATGAGCGCATGTGCCATAACAGATTTCTTCTAAACAAAATTTTCTGATGGATTTAAAGAAATTATCATGTAGTTCTCTCTTAGACTAACCTCTGATCGGAGATTCTCAGTTTTATCGACCAAAATCTCAATCTTTTCTCCACGCTCAAGAACCTGTACAAGAAACGAATATAGTTTAACAAGCAAGAAGCTCGAATAGGCGACAAGAATAATACTGCTTTGTAATGACGGGATTTTGAGGACTTCTGTACCTTCTCAATATTTTCAATCATTACTCCCTTAACTTCGGAAACTTGAGCATTGACTTTTGCGAGATTACTAATTTCTTCAGGATGATCGATGCAGTACTGCATTTGCTCTTTCAATTTCGGCCTATAATAGCAACAGTTGTATAAGGCAAAGGCCGCAAAACTGAAAGCAATATCTAAAAAGTGAGAAGGCAGTTACCCAAATTCCTTGTTCAAACTATTGGCACTTGCAGTTGCAGCTTTCCCCACTCCATATCTCTTGTTAAAATCATCCTTAACACGCTCTAGAAAGCCAATGGGAATTTGTCGACCAGCAGATTCAACAGCAACGACGCAGTAGGCTACAAAAAGCAACATAAAGCAGCTTAGTTGATGCTCCAGAAATCCAAACAACAAAAGTCATAAGAAATTATTTAATTTCATCGATGAATTTCAAAACTAGAAAGCATTGACTTAAGGTCGTCTAAACTGGAAATATGTTCTACAATTTATCTAACAAGAAAAGAACTTTATTTTCCCTCTGGGCTGCCGTAAAGCAAGGTGCTAAATCTCGTAAAATCTAGTGAGCAAAACAAACTGATCGATCAAAAACTAGAAAAGAAAATGTTAATACAATAGTAAACTTTTGAAACAAGGCAATAAACTTCAAAACATCAAGAATATGAACTACACAATGGAGATGAGATGAAGTATTTCTTTGTGGCTCAACTAGTCAGTTATTCACAGCATGGCTAGAAGTTGCCAGATGTCTAAAAGATAAAAATAACACGGAACCAATTCTGCACCAAAACAACAATTAAATGAAGCTTTATTCTCTATAAATTTGAAGTCGCTACATACATCATGTTTTATCATTCAGTTCAGTTAGATCGGTAATCTACTGAAAGATCCAAAACAACTGGATTTTAATTTTTAACAGTAGTGAAATATTGCAATAGTTTTAGTCTACTCATCCCTTTTCTAACTTGTTAGAGCAAAATTGTATCAATCTTATTAACTATTAACGGGAGCCCTTAGGTCTAGTAGGAATACCCTAACTACCTAAGGTGTCCATCTCAAAATTTATTGTCAATCAATGTCACCTCTACTCGTTGGCCTATGTTCTTATTTCTCAGTTTGGCCGTGATTCCTTGCGCCTCTTGAAAAACACCATCAGGCACTAAACTATTTGAATTCAAATCCATATTTATAGGCCCATCCAAGCAGACAAATAAGCAAACAATAAATATGCATCAAACAATACAATCGTATGACACATAGATCAAGTTAAAATAAAATCAAAATGGGCATATTCAAACCAACGAAAAAGTAAAATTTAAAATAAATAACCCACAAAAATTATAGCAATGAATAAGAGATAAGGTACATACTGAATCCATTTTCAGCAAGGAAATTGAAGGTGTGACCATCGCAATTGTAAGTAAACTTGTTGTTTGAAGCTGGCAACTTTTGCAGGCATTCAAAGGCTATCTTTGTGAAATTCCCTGTAAATTCTGTATATTCTGCCAAAATTACTGTGCCTCTTGCAACGAAGCTGTAGATTAATGACTGCTGACCCATAATAATTTGATTTTCTCTATTGAATTCTATCTATCTGATTCAAGAACCAAAACCCAGAACCCAAAATGAAACGAGAATATTGAAGCAGAAAACTCAAAAGGAAATTTTGGTTTTTGCTGATGAGAGAGGAAATGGTAGAGCGTATAAAGGGAGCCTTCATTTACACCAAGTTGAAAACCGCGGGTGGGAGGAGTGATCTCCTGCAACGGTATTTCCTGCAATTGGAAAATGTTGAAAACTTTTCTGCAGCAAAACGTTGTACCTTTGGGATTAGTTTACAATAATAGTATTCTTCACGCTTCATGAAAATTAGATAATAAATAATTATTTGTCACGTATAAGAATCAATGTTATGAACTTAGGATGATAAAACGATCCGACTCGACCTTACCTCTCCAAAATACTAGGTGGGATGAGAGGGGATTGCCTATCCACCCCATCGATTACCTTTACTATCAGCAATATATAATTACTTACAATTTAACAAATTGTGTTCACTAACTAAACATTTTTTGATAAAGATTTATTTAAATTTTTATTTAATAAAAAAAATCTAAAGCATTGGTCTTTTGTATTCATTGAGAAGAAACAAGTTATAATTGTAAAGCGATTTTTTAAAATATATCTTGGGGTTTATTTTTATTATACAAGATGATAAAAATAGATGATCTAGCATGGAAAAAGTATTTTATAAATGATCATGCTACATGTACAAACTTTTTTTACAAACTCCTTTACTCATTATTCACAATGGGGACATTTTTTAAATTTATGTGGGGTTCAATAATTTTATGAGAGTGAATATACTATTGTGTCAACAAAATTTTGTACAAATATCTTTATTCTTTTATAAATACAAATTTTCACATGCAAATTTGGTAAATGAATTTTGGCGAAGTTGAAATGTTGTACAGGGTCAAATTCTTAGGGGTCAAGTCAAAAGTACAATACTTGTTAAGCAGGCATCTGTACACCTGTAGCAGAGGATCAGGCCTCCTGGTGACGCTTGCCGTTATATTTGAATATAGGCGAGGAAGGAAGAATTTGATTAAATCGTTGATATTTGTAGAAGAAAAAATAAGATTGGAATTAGTCTTTATGGATTGGAAGATTCTATTTTGAATTTTGGATTATAGAATGAAGGAGGGATACAAGAAATTGTTGGTCACACGCCGTTCCTTGTTATACATTTCAACTTATGGCACACTAACACTCTTTTAGAAAAGAAAAAAGAAATATAATAAATCGAACTATTTTTATAAGTTTTGCTTTGAGTGAAAATGAAATTCCGAGTTGAGCACTTGACTTTAATATGATCCAAATTGATCACTCAGTTTGCAATTGATTTCTCTATTATATTTTGCTTGCAAATTTTTTTATGCCCAAATGATGTTGTGAATGAAATTTCTAGCACCACAATTATGGACGTTAAAAAGTCCAAGCTAACAAGCTCCATGAGTTGTTAACATTTTTTTGTAAAAAATTGCTTTCTAGCACGGGTTTTGAGCAAGCCAAAGCTAGAGTTCTTCAAGTTACAAAATATGAATAAATCGAATCAACAACATACCGTTATAATGAAAAATTGGCCTTGACCTCTAAGATGAATACAATTCAAGAAGGAATAGGAATATCAAATTGTCTGGCTATGAGCTTGGCAATGGCATACCTTTCAAAACGGTAATATGAGATATGGACAAGCTAGACAGAACGAGTTCTTTGATCTGATCAATTTGTTTTTTCGTTGATAAATAAGGAAATTTAAATCTTATAATTGGATATGAAACAGCCTACTTTAAGCAAGTTTTAGAAGCTAAGGGGCTATGGCAACATAACTTTGTATTCTTTTTAAGAGAAAGATTAGGTTCGGGCAAGACTGCCCTATGGGCTAGTCTGTGACGAGGCTAACATGATGACTCATTAGGCTTGTGGGAAGGGGTCAAACCCTAGGGAGACAAAAAGATTTTAAAAAAAAGCCTCAAGTACTAAAAATTCTTGACAGAATTCTTACAAATGCTATTGTGACAACATCTATTTTGTATATATTTTGGGTAATTAACTGAAACGTTCTTATCTTTTAATGATATTGTGCAAAATATTTTTACTTTTTATTTTTTGACATTTTCATCCATACATTCACCTTTCAATGTGGAAAATATCATTTTCATCCAATTTCTCACTTAAAAAATGTAAAATGACAAATATATCATCTTATTTAAATAAAACAAAAAAAATAAAAAAAAACAAAATAACTACAAATGAGTCCAAAATAAATTATTAAAAAGGTAATTAGCGCAAAAAATTCATATTTTTCAATATTATTATGTAAAACGTCCATATCTTTCATTTTTTTTTTACATTTTCGCACTTATTTTCACATTACATTGCGAAAATCATTATTTTCATCCATTTTCTCAATTAAAAATTATAAAATGATGAATATACGCTCGTGTTTAAATAAAACAAAAATAAAGAACAAATTACAATTATACTTTCAAATTTTTCAGAATAGTACAAACAAATTTCAAATAAATAATTTTAAAAAGAAAGTAATTTTTTTTAACTATTAATTTGTATTTTTTTGAAAATTTTGGGAGTATAGTTGCAATTTGTTCTTTATTTTTTTTTTAGTTAAATATGAGGTGATATTCGTAATTTGACATTTTTTTAATTGAAAAAATGGATGAAAATAATGATTTTCACAATGAAATGTAAAAATAAGGATAAAAATGTCAAAATAAAGGTATGGACGTTTTGCACAATAATATTGAAAGGTATAGACGTTGTGTACTAATTACCCCTTTAATAATTTATTTAGATTCATTTGTAGTTTTTAAAAAAAATTTGAGATATAATTACAATTTGTTCTTTAATTTTTCTTTTCTTTTTAAATTTATTTAAATAGGAGGGTATCCTTGTCATTTTATATATTTTTATTGAGAAATAGGTGAAAATGACATTTTTCGTGATGAAATGTGAAAATGTCGAAAAAATGAAAGGTAGGGCATTTTGCACAATAACATTAAAAGGTAAGGACGTTTTGTGTTAATTATCATTTTTCCCCATCCTCCAATGAATCCTTGCCACGTGTTGTTTATAAAGATTTTTTTTGTCAATTTTTTCTGTGTTTGTAACATGATTGAATTTAATTTTTTTAATGCATAGAAAAAAGAAGTGAAAAATTCATAATTTAAAAATTTTGACCTAAAAATATTAAATGGACTTGGCCTAGACCTACCTAGTAGGTGGGCGTGGAAGTGGAGGCCGGGTACTACCCAAGCGTCTAGACGGGTTGCCTATTTGGATGCCCATCGAAAGGAGATTTACAAGACGTAATTATATAATTGGGGTAATTTTATTGCACAAGTGATGCAAACCCCGTAGCAACGTTGACTACGAAACCCACAACGAGATTGACGAACCCAAGAAAGCCAAATTAATCCAAGAGTTTAGGATTAATCCAATAGAAAGTCGAACCAAAAAATCCAACAAGAACGACGCTTGAAAGACCCCTTGATCACGCAATTCAAGAATTAAATCCGGTTGTTTGAACGCCACAAGTTAACACTTGATAAGTTCGAAATTGTTCAATGAAGAACGATGAAGAGAAGACAATACGCCTCACTTTTAATTCAATATCAAAAATGTCAAAAGGTTTTTAACAATTGAATGAAAACTCCTATTTATACTAACCCTAAAAACTAAGTAAAAATCGTGTAAAAGTCGATCATAATCCCCAAAATATGGAAAAGAATAAAAAACTAACAAAATATGAAAAATTGTCAAAATTAAAAAATTCGTCAAATTTTTGGCCTATGCGACCGCGACGTTCATTTCTATGCGATCGCATAGTTCAAGCAAGTTTCGCCATTTGATTTTCAGTAAGCCTACATGCGACCGCAAGCCTTTTAAGCCTATGCGACCGCATATGCTTATCATTTTCCTTCGTCTTTGGCCTTCGATATTAAATTGATCCAAGTTGATTCGGCATTCGATCCGAACATGAAAGTTGCTCCATTTTGAGTCCCGAACATAGTTCCATCAATGGTTTCTTGAATGAGCAATCCCATCGCTTGTTTCACTTACTTTGCCCTTGATCGCGTCATTGGTCCGCCATCGACTATTAACAGGTCTCTTCTCGCACTCGCCTTCATCAGGCTCGACTCCTGGATCATATCATTCCCTCTCTCTTCAAAAGGATTCGCAATCAAATCTGAACCTATATCAAACAGAGAGAAATCAGATACATTAAAAGTAGCGGAAACATTGTACTCACCTGGAAGGTCCAACTTATAAGCATTGTCGTTTATCTTTTCAATCACTTGAAATGGACCATCGCCCCTCGGTTGCAACTTGGACTTCCTTTGCTCCGAAAATCGCTCCTTCCTAAGGTGCACCCAAACTCAATCTCCTGGCTCGAATGTCACGCGCTTCCTACCTTTGTTTGCCTGCGACGCAACCAACTTACTTTCATTTTCAATTTGCGCTTTAGCTTTTCATGAAGTGACTTAACCAATTCCGCCTTCTTTTTGTCATCTAAACTATCACGTTCATTCACAAGTAAAAGAATTAAATCCAAAGGAGTTAGTGGATCAAAACCATATACAATTTCAAATGGAGAATATGACATAGTAGAGTGAACAGCTCGATTGCATGCAAATTCAACAAATGGTAGACACTCCTCCCAACTCTTCAAATTTTTATTGATTATTGTGCATAACAATTGTGTCATAGTCCTATTCACTACCTCGGTTTGCCCATCCGTTTGTGGGTGATAAGTTGTGGAAAATAGTAACTTAGTGCCTAACTTACCCCACAAAACTCTCCAAAAGTGACTCAAAAATTCGACATCCCGATCCGACACTATGCTTCTAGGAACCCCATGTAAACGCACATTCTCTTTAAAGAATAAGTCAGCAATGTTCGTGGCATCGTGAGTTTTGTAACATGGTATAAAATGTGTCATTCTGCTGAACGTATCTACAACCACAAAAATAGAATCCCGACCTCTCTTAGTCCTAGGTAAACTCAAAACAAAGTCCATCGAGATATCAACCAAAGGCTCACTAGGTGTAGGTAAAGGTGTGTACAAACCTTGAGGTAAAACCTTAGACTTAACCCTTTTATAACCTATGCATCGACTA